TGTCCAGTTCCAGCTTGTCAGGCGAAGAGGAACAGAAGGAAGAACTATGCTCTGCTACTTTACCGGGATATCCACTGCTAACCTGAACAACGCTTTCTTACTGTCTTCGAAATATTCGCTGCTAACCTCTGGATTCTATACTCAAAGATGACCGTCATCATGAACAACAAGTTTTTCTTTAAAAACGTAACAAAATTTAAGTTTCGACATTTATATGGATTATATTGAGGCAGTCACGTTGATTCTTATTTCTACGCTGTTTATATTTATAAGCGCGACCTCCGACCGTCCTCGGTATGACAATAAACTACATCCGTATCCTGGGTAAGATGATAAACTGCATCCGACAGCAAGGCCTTTGATTAGGAGGTTTTGAGGCGCATGGAACCACCTCTTTAGTGCTGGTGTTCCCAGGTCCACCCTGAACCGGGGTGGTAGCACCTATCAGGGTCCTAGCTATGAGAAAATAGTTCCCCCCCGCCAAAAAAAAAAATGGAGAAAAAACACGATGAAAGTATAAAAAATGGTTTTAATGCCAGCAATACCTTTTTGGAAAATATATTACCGATAAATGTCTTGTCGGCATTAAATAATGCCGTAAAACAATACAAACCAAACCAAATGGCGTATTGTAATATTGATTAAGTGAAAGTGAAATGTCGTAAAGTTGATCAATTGTCACTTGCATAAATTCATATGAAACCTAGTAGAATAATAAATTTCAGATGCATCAAGGATGGTCCTCAGTGATGCACTGTCTTCATCGCCGATTTCGGGTTTTGCATAATATCGGCTCAAACAGCAACCCCGACCTGATCTCAAAAGATCAGACCGCCTCCTTGATAGCCCCGAGCTACGCACCTCGACGTTGCAAAAAACAAAATTCAGATATGGCTTGGAGTCCAACCGTTCTTATTGACATACGTCAGTCAACATCAGCCAATGAAATAAAGGCTTTTCCCCCTTCCCTCCTATATAGTCTTGTCTTTTGATTCATCCGGTTTTAATTCGCGCCATTTTCCTGGAATTTATAACGAGCTAAGCTGGACTTGTTCTTGCAAAGTTCAATCCAGTATTTCACATTTTAAATACTAATTCAATATCTAAACCTTACCACTTATATTACTTTTCATGAAAAAAGATATATTCATTATTTCATTATTCTTACTATTATATAAAAAATCTTTAAGTCCAACCCTATACACTTAATCAAACGAAATTAGAAAAATGTAATGCATCTTCAAGCCTCTACATATAAATGTACTCTCACATACACTCATACACGTAAAACCTATCTCCATTTACATTAATTTTACGAAACCGTTTATTACAAACTTATCTCGTACTGTTTATTTGAAATTCCTTACCAGTTTTGTAATCTATCAATTAAAATAATACGATGGCTTAATCTAAGCAAGGAAAAACTAAGAATACTTAAATAAGTAAAAAAAAACTAAATAACTAAGGAAATCTAAACTACTCAATTAATTAACATATTCACATTTACTTTCTGTTAAATATAATCAAAATGAATCTCGCGAATTAATACTAGAATTAACACTCAATTATTAAACAATGATTACTAGGATCTAACTTTACATTCATAAGAATTAGGGTTGGCAGGGTTTCTTAGCTAAATAATTCTACCTGGGGCTTGTAAACAATGTACTGCAGTTGAGTAAAAATCAATATATTTCTTCGCACAAAGGAATATTGCATCAACTTTTTCTCTCTAACATCTTATACATACTGTTCAAAATTTATTATATTTTTAAGGCAAGTATCGGAGCTAAATTGGTTTGCCAGTTCCAACTGCAGTACACTGTTTAGAAGCCCCAGGGAAAAACAAGCTAAGAAACTGGGTTTCACATGAATTTATGCAAGTGATAATTGATCAACTTTACGCCATTTTACTTTCACTTAATCGATATTACAATACGCCATTTGGTATGGTTTGTTTTATTTTACGGTATGACAATATGCCATTTGGTTTGGTTTGTTTTTCATATTGTAGCCACGATTTGCTTCATTTTACATTCTCGTAATGCCCTCTCCATTGATTATATAGTTAACAAAATGGCGTATTGTAATATCAATTAAGTGAAAGTAAAAAATAAAATGGCGCAAAGTTGACCAATTATCACTTGCATAAATTCATATGAAACCCAGTTTCTTAGCTAAATAATTTTTCCTGGGGCTTGTAAACAGTGTACTGCAGTTGGAACTAGCAAACCAAGTTCGCTCCGATACTGACCTTAAAAATATAATAAATATACAGTATGTATAAGATGTCAGAGAGAAAAAGGAATAAATTTGTTCACTTCTGTTATAAATGGGATTAAAGGGATTATTTTTAAATGACTGGAACCATGACAAATTGTTATTACGCAACAGTACAGTGAGCAACTAGCGTGTTTAAATGACACAGGAATATATTACAAATGCGACGCAACCAACTTGGCCTATTTCCCACAAGCGACGTATTTGCCGTGCGTTTCTCCTTTAAACCCAAGCAACAATCAAGCTTATTTGTGTGCAGTGGTATAATGGATTGCAGATCGAAATTATAAATCGGCCATCTGAGTTCGAATTACAGTCGATTTCGTTACATTTACTTACAAACAAATAACCATGTGAAAGGTGTGAATTCTTCCATCCATTCCCCCAGCTACGGGTTAAATAGAAGGACTTATATCTAGAAAAATCATTATTACCTCCAAAATAATGTTCATGGATTTTTCACTCGCAAAAAATCATTAATTCTTTAAATCCAAAATATGTTTAAGTCGGCGAATGCTGTCATAGCTCTTGTCTTCAATTCATCTTCAGCGTTACAAGGATTTTTTGGGTCTCTTGCACAACTGCGCCCCACATATAATAATCAATGGGTTCGCAGTATGGGGAGGTAGGTGGCCAGATGTAAAGAGTGATGTATTTGCAGAAATTGTCTGACAGCCATGACTGGGTTCTCCTGCTTGTGTGGTATGGTGCAGAGTCCTTTTGCCAGACACAGGGTCTTACAGTAGCCACCCTCTTGACACAGGGCAGCACTACCTCATCAAGACACTTGATATAGGCCTCCGTGTTGTGTCTGAAACGCAACGGGAAGATGAATAGAGACATAACGTTGCCATCACTAATGATCACTCCAAACACCTTCGTAATCATCATTAGACTCATCCAACTCCTTCCGAATCCTCTACACTGTCCTCAGACTGACACCCAAACTCTCTGAAATATTCGTATTTGAGCTTCCGACACGAATGCCAAGAAGTATAACATGCTGTTTCCAAATTCCTGGCAAAGTGGATTGTGTTATGGTGTTCTTTTTCTCATAGACGGTGCCCAGCGAATCTTACTATTACTGTGCAGTCGATAAAATGAGAAACAAACAAAGCACATGAGTGAAATGAAAAATATAAAATGGCGTCAATTTTCTCATCGCATCCTGGGTGTGTGTATGAATGGGAATATACATATACACAAACTAAAATAGATAGATAGATAGATAGATAGATAGATAGATAGATAGATAGATAGATAGATAGATATGATATGATATGATATGAACAGAAGATAGATAGATAGATAGATAGATAGATAGATAGATAGATAGATATGATATGATATGAACAGAACTAGATAGATAGATAGATAGATAGATAGATAGATAGATAGATAGATAGATATGATAACAGAACTAGATAGATAGATAGATAGATAGATAGATATAGATAGATAGATATGATATGATATGATATGAACAGAACTAGATAGATAGATAGATAGATAGATAGATAGATAGATAGATAGATATGATATGATATGATATGATATGAACAGAACTAGATAGATAGATAGATAGATAGATAGATAGATAGATAGATAGATAGATATGATATGATATGATATGAACAGAACTAGATAGATAGATAGATAGATAGATAGATAGATAGATAGATAGATAGATAGATATGGACAGAACTAGATAGATAGATAAATAGATATAGAGAGAGAGGGGGGAGGGAGGAAGATAGGCTAACATAGAATTACGTTCCTGTTCTTTTCATTTAATCTTCCCGTGTTGACCTTCTTGGCGTTCTCCCGTCATCCCATCCACCTGGATTTTCTCCATTTTCTTGCATCCTATTTTTATGCCCATCGCCAGTTTCCTTCCTTTCTCACCTTTGCCCCTTTCACTGTCCCTACTCTGCTCCCCAAGACTCTTCCCCCCCACAACACCTTATTCTCTCCCCACTCCCATTTATTCGCTCTAATTATCCATTCCCCAATTCGTTTCTTCCCGCTTTCCTGCAGCGAAGGAAATTCTTGAAGAATGAAGACTGACAAGGCGACCCTAAAGAAAAAATGCAATGAAGGGGAAAGTATTAAAAGGTTTTGGTATCATAGAAAAAAAATGGAGGAAGAAAGATTGAGAACTGGGTTAAAAATAGGAATGAGATAACGAAACAACATGAAGAAAGAAAGAAAGAAAGAAAGAAAGAAAGAAAGAAAGAAAGAAAGAAAGAAAGAATTAAAAGGAAGTAAAGAGAAATATAGAGAATGAAAAAGAAAGAAAGTGTTATATAAAATGAAAGAAAGAAAACATGATATAAAGTAAAAAAAATAAATATAATTAGGGTAATAAATTGCGAAAGAAAGTACAAGGAAATACAGAAAAAATCATCACATGAAGAGAAAGAAAGAAAATCCTAAAAATAAGAAAGAAAGAAAAAGGTAGAAAGAAAGAAAGAAAAAGTAGTAAAGGGATATAAAGAGAATGGAAAAGAAAGAAAGCGTTAAAAAGTCAAATAAATAAACAAACAAACAAACGAAGAGATAGAGAAATGTCTAAAATAATTTAACAAGGTACGGATGAAGAAAATATTATTTGAAGAGAAAGAAGGAATGAGTGAAAGAAAGAATGAAAGAAACGAAGCAAGAATCATAAATATCAGAAAGAAAGAAAGAAAGAAAGAAGCAAAATATGTAAGAAAAAATCAAAGAAACAAAGAACTAAAAAGAATTAAAAAGGAATAAAGAAAATGAAAAAGAAAGAAAGCATTATATAAAGTGAAAAGAAGTAAGAACTGCTTAAGAAAAATGGTAATATACAGAGAAAGCATAATATATGAAAAAGAAAGAAGATCCATAATGAACGAAAATAGAAAGAATGCCTAATATAGAATGAAAAAAAAAGCATTATATAAAGTGAATATAAATAGAATAACAAAATACCAATAATACGAAAAGTAAAGAAAAATCATCACACGATGCAAAAGAAAGAATGTTTAAAATAATTTAACAAAGAACGGCTGGAGAAAAATCATTTGAAAAGAAAGAAAGAAAGAAAGAAAGAAAGAAAGAAAGAAAGAAAGAAAGAAAAAAAGAAAGAATTAAAGAGAAATAAAGAGAATGAAAAAAGTAAGCATTATATAAAGAGGCAGAAAAAAAAACGAAAGAAAGAATGGCTCAAGAAAAAATGTTAATATGAAGAGAAAGAAGAAGTATAAGATATGGAAATGAAAGACCAATAATGTAAAGACAACGAAAAAAAAAAAAGAATGCATAATAAAGAAAGAAAGAAAGAAAGAAAGAAGAAAAACATGAATATAAATAGGACAATAAAATGCGAAAGAAAAAGGAAAGAAAGAAAAATCATCATGAAAAGAAAGAAAGAAAGAAACAGTGTAAAGAAAATAAAGTAAGATAGGAAGAAAGAAGGAAGAAAAGAAGAAAGGAAGAAGAAAAGAAGAAGAAAAGGAGAAGAAAAGAAGAAAAACACATAATAGAAAGAAAGAAAGAAAGAAAGAAAGAAAGAAAGAAAGAAAGAAAGAAAGAAAGAAGAAAAAGTACAAAATTACGGAGGTCTTTATAAAGCAACATCGACACAAGGTCTAAAATTTCTCACATCAAACTTTGGTGAATCTGTGATACATGTTTTTATGCATATAATTCACGACAAGCCAGTTCCCTGAGATCAGCTCTTCATGGCAAGACACGCTCTAAATGATAAACTTTCCATAATCTTTCGAAAACATATAACCTTGCATCTTCAAGTTGAATAAATACCAACTTTTAAAGCCCATTTTCTTTTCAGTAAGTGACGTAGAGATACGTTTCACCTGTGACCTGTCACGAATTCTCTTGAAAGCCTTTTTTTTTTCTTTCATGTTTGTAGTAATAAATCCCTCGCCTTATTTCTAGTATGCGGCAAATCGGTCACTGAGTTCAGTAAAGTCTGGAAAATGTTTAACACCTCCTGCTACAAGTAAGCCAATGCCGCTTGATGGAAAAGCGACAATTGGATTAAATAAGACACACCCCAGTCCGAAGGCTAGTGAGATTCCTTTGGCGCCACATCACCAGGCTTCTAAGGAGTCGGAAGCCGAGCACAGATTGAAAGACCTCAATCAACACAGAGTATGAGACAAATCGATGACCGAATCTAGGGAGGCCCTCAAAACAATTCAGCAACTCTGGCTATAAGTAAAATTGATTGATTGATTTTTTTTAAGACTAATTAAACTTTTGTTGGTTTTTAAAGCCAGAACCTATTTTTAGATTGTAAGAACATTTTGGTGATAATAATAATTTACTTACATTCACTATTTAATTTATAATTTACTTGACATTCACTTACTTTCCAGATTCCTACTTGTCCCTTATTAAATATTCTATCGGATTTATTCTATATTTTCAGCGCATATATATATATATATATATATATATATATATATATATATATATATATATATAATAAACCTAAAGAGACAGACAAATGTTTTGCTCTACTTAGCGTACTTTGTTTAGTTATTTTACTTTACTCGTATCGGAGGTTTTTTTTCTTTGGACTCTGAACTTAGATTCTA